CCCGGCAGAATACGGTAGTGGAGGTTGAATTACAACTGAATTCGTCAGTATTCTTCCCTAACCAGCCATTCCCTATCGCCCGAGACGGTCAGATGACGGACGGTGCGGCAAAAGTATACAGTAAGCGAAATATGTATACGTACATTGAAATCTTCAGTATTTCGTGATTAATGTAAGATAAAAATGCTCCAAGACTTCGGAGATAGTTTCCTATGAAGGGTATACCTCCAAGAACAATGACTACTACCTCTGCTTGGTAACAATTGCAAACAATTCGAAAATGCTAATTGTTCATATCCAGGATATGGCAACGCGGCTGAGCGACGGCAAGTCCAGGCTGCCGAGCCGACGTATCATTCCGAATGAACAACACAGGGCGACGTAAAACCTACACAATCAGTGAGATCGAGCAGCGGATTAAGGCAACACCTTTGACTCAGCGTCCGACGTATCGTGCATTGTCAACAGCCATTGGAGTCTAGACTTGGACCATTTGGAACTACATCAAGCACAAATGGGTAACACGTCGATCAAATGGACAAAACCGAAGCTCAAACCTGAGCACTTGCTTCAGCGCTTGGACTTTTGCTCAAATCTTCTTCAGGACTACAGTAAGAGCAATTACACTGAGTTGTTTAATGTAGTCCATATTGATGAGAAATGGTTTTACATCACGAAACTGCGCCACCGCTTTTACCTCTGGACCGATGAAGACAACCCGCCTAGACATGTCCAATCCAAGAGCCACATCACCAAGGTGATGTTTTTGGTTGTTGTTGCTTAACCACGTAGCGGCTGGGACGGCAAGGTTGGATGTTGGCCGTTTGTTTCAAGAATGCCTGCCCAACGATCAAGTGTCAATCGACCCGCAGGCACAATCGTCACCGCCGCCGTCAATGTAACAAGACAGGTCTATCGATCGTTCTTGGTTGACAAAGTACTCCCAGCGATCAAGGCCAAGTGGTGCTGGTTGACAAACGACAACGATGGCGTGGTCTACCTTCAACAAAACAATGCCCGTGTCCACGTGACCTTCGATGGCCCACAAGTTCTGAGTGCTGCTGAGCACTCTGAGCTCTCGATTCGCGTCCGGAACCAGCCTCCCCAAAGCCCAGACCTGAATGTTTTGGATCTGGGATTTTTCAACTCAATCCAAGCGCGTCAGCAAACGATGGAGTACAGGACCATCGTCGAGCTCGTTCTGGCTGTGCAAACTTCCTTTAGTGCATTGTCGACTGCGAAGTTGGAGAAGACCTTTGGCAAGTTGGATCGAGTTATGCGTGCAATTGTCGAGGCAAAGGGCGGTAATACGTACAAGATCCCGCGGAGTAAGGAAAGGGGTAAAGATCAGATCGACGAAGACGTCATGGCGAGCTTGCAATTGATGAAACTTCGTGTAGAAGAGGAAAGTAAGTTGGATGAGTTGTGTGATTTTGTAAACACCATTGCCGTTTAGTTCTTTTAAACAGATTCTTTGTGGTAAATTATGTATGCCTTTGAATATTCGCCTGCAATTGTTGCGAACCAGAGGTAGTACAATACAATACAGCTAGTGGGCTTGATTTTGCCAACATATGGAGGATGATTGAATTGACCCGGTTTGATGCATCTGAATTATATACGTGCACTGCGCTATAAACTTTCTATATGCTAAAACACATTCAAAATTGAAACAAATTAGTGCGGGGAATTGGTAAATTACAGTAAACCCCGGCAAAAGCCGTCACTCCCAAAAACGCCGAAACCTCTATAATATGATATGTTTAACAGGATTCTACCACCTCAATACTTCAATACCAAACATGTCATACTTTTTGACCGATTGCAGTGCAGATACAAAAGCAAATGTGATTGGTCAACGTTTTGAAAGTTCAACCTCGTTTCTTTGCATTCCATACGAAAGCAGAGTATCATACTGCCTGTCATGCCTAGCTGTCACAAGTCGTACATCATTGGCGAGATGCGAAAGCTTCTCGCATTCGTTCGACGAACTGAACATCAGTTACCGCTCTTTTGTCAACGAAACAGCATCCCAAGAAGCACGTGAATTGGGTGACGTGACAGGTCGAAGCTGTCGCACGCAATCACGCCAGCGGAAGACTCTAGGTGGACAAGGCCTACATATACATGCCATAATCCCGTTCAAGCGCAAGCTAGGCAGCTTCATGAAGGACATACGACGCGATGAGCACGATCTGACCTCAATGCACATAATTACGTTCACAAAGACATATTTTGCGACTTGGCTTGAAGACTACTACAAAGCAGCAAAAAAAGATATGTACTGATCTCCCCCCACTTCGAAACGGAGCACAATATGCATATTACACAG